TGCTGCAATGCATCTATTATATAAACGAAGCAATTCAACACTTGGACCTCCATGCTGCAGCACTTCTCTGAGATTCGTGACAGTTCATTACAATACGCATTAAGTGAACGCGGTTGGTGTTCAGCCTTTACAAATGCATACATGATCTCTATATGCTATAAATGCCTGTAAGTGTGAAGAGGTCATGCGAGATTCTATTTCTTAGAACAGGCAAGAAACAAATACCATAGTCGTCAAGTTTAGCTTATTCAGTGTTCGGCGCAGAACTGCCCAATAAAACTTGGCATCGTACATAAAAACATGCTCTACAATGTCTAGTTCGTTATAAAAAAGACAGCTTAATTCCGATGGCAAACACTTACCTCGTTGTTTAAGCAATGTTTTCGCAGATAATGAGCCTGTGTTAAGTTTAAAAACAAATGTTGTAGCCCCACATGCAGATAACATTTTTGTCGCGTTTCACTACATCCCTTCCCGATTTCTCCTAGTAAATGGTTAGTTGAGGTGTCTTTGAAAAAAAAATACTAATAAATGTTGCGTAGTGGAAGGAGTCTCCTGACCGCGTCATATTTTGAGTTGCGGAGGTGTAGGTTCAGGCCTGGCGCCAAAAGTTATGAAGTACGTTTGAACAACAAGTGGGTGGTTCGCTCGGTGTGCCCGTAAGCTTGATCCGCCATTTGCTGGGCGAGAATATAATACCAGTTGCATATACCGCAGCTTTTCGTATGCTAGCGGCCAGTTTTTTTGTCTTTCAGCGATAACATCAAAAAGAATCGTGTGCTGTTCAGGCAACGAGGCAATCAAAATGATGCTGGCAAGAAGGTAACAGATATTTATACTGTTTACTGCTAACCCGAATGACTAAAAAAAGTTTACTGAATCTGCCCCCCCCCCCCCCGCCCTCGTGGTGTGTATCAGTGCAACACGCAATTGAATCTTTGGAAGATGTGAGTTGTTCGTTAATTAAAAAACGCTATATGAGAGCTAGTACGAAGTCTATTGGTGTTGGGCAGATGTAGCATCACTAGAAGAAGTCCCGCGCAATTGGGTGCCTAGCGGCACATCTCCTCTCCACAGACTAACGCCCATTATTATATCTTTAATTTGCGGTAGCTGAAGTTTCCAACACATGCTTTGACTTCATATATGGCGAATCGCCCACAAAGGTGACAGCAACAAGACATAATAAACCGTGGAACTCGGTATGCACTCCTTCCAAGCATCGTGAAGTGCCAAGACAAACGCAACGTGTGTATTGTGTTCCCCTTGGGCTGGCCCTGAACTCATGCAAGGGGAGTAAAGAAATCGACGACATGGTGTGGCAGCCGAGCGAGGGTTGGATGGCCGCAGAGTTTCCAAAGGTTATCTGGAGGCATAGAGAGAAAAAAGTAATGAGGGAGCATTACGTCACACGAGTGAAGCCAAGTAGATCTAATCGTGTCGTCCCAACACGTGATCAAAGCATCACAATGTGTAGTAGCTTTTATTACTTTCGGTGGTGTTCCGTTTTTGTACCTTTCGTGTGAGCTGGCTGGTCTGCGCCGAACAAGTGCGTTTCGAATAAAAGCTACCGCGTGCGATTCCCCCAAGTCTCAGCAAGTCTCGTTGCTTGCGTGGTGTCACCGCAAAGGGTCACGTGCTTGGCCGACACGGCTGGCTTCACTATGCGTTGGCTTGCCAAGGCTGGCTTCCTTCATTTTCTTTTTCCATGACTGGAAGAGACTCGGGCACTGCAGTCCTTCAGTGACTATTGGAATGATGGTTACTACACGGATTTACCTGGTCTTTGTACTTGCGGGCTTTAAACGCATTTGTGCAAACTTCAACGCGTAAACCATTTTGAGCTTTGTGACCCGATCTGAATTGGTGGGCCTAAAAGGTAAGGTGGTTAGGTGCAATTGCCGAGCATCTTCTGTTTGTCGTTTCATAATAATGGGGCTCGAAGCCACGCGAAAGTAAGTGGGGCCGAAAGGGCGAAGATTGGGAAAATTCATGTACTACCCCTAATTCCCATGCTCAGTGAAGCACCATGCACTGTAGCTCTTGTAGGCACTAGCAGCAGATTTCTCTCTAATGTGTTTATAAAAAACTCAGTCCAGAGAGGTATGTTTTCGACATAAATGAATGTGATCAGAGAGGCATAGATTAAAACCACCATCTTGTGGTCTTTTGAAACGTTCCAAATTTACACTTCTATGTGAAACGCGCTGACTGGCAGTTATTAGGAACATTGCGTGGCCCTAAGTAATCGCGAAACACATAACTCGACTGTACTTCCGCTTTCAGAGAGCAAAACCACCTTGCGAAAAAGAACAGTGACAGAAATAAGATGCGTGGTGGTGTAGCCTGCTATGTAGCTGTGGCAGTGGCGTAGAGGGTTAAACATTTGCCAGATGTCGGGGACCAAGAGGTCATGAGTTTACTTCCTCCAGTGGATCAGTTTTGTTTACCGTTTTCTTTTTTGCCGTCTGATCGCATTTACTTGGCTCACGTATTTCGTTCACGCAAATACGTCATGAAAGACTTGGTGAACCGCGGCATGAAACACTTTCGCCTCAAAAATAATAGTGCGGCAAACACGTTTTGTGAATGAAGTCAGCATCGCGCTTTTGTTCTGACGCTCAAAAAAGTGCTTTTAAACATTATTTCTTATGTATGCGTGCAATTTACCTTATCGCCTGCAATATAACTGAGCCTTGTGAATACCATTTTGACATACGCGCTTTAAAACATAAGGATGTCACACACCCACAAAAGAGCATTACTAATCACTATATGCGTGTCCGTATTGCAGATCGACGAAAGCATCCGATAGCTCGGTGTGGTGGAAATCTAGCTCAACTGACGACTTGCTAGACATGCAGTACAATACCAGCCACGGCGAATCCATTTTTCGTGAAGGCGAAAGGATTTGAGGCTCGTGTACTTTGGCTCTAGTATGCGTTATGAAACCCCAGATTGTCGAAATTTCAGCTACCGTCCACTACATCATCATTAATAATCATATGGTAGTTTTGGTATGTGGAACGCCGACAGTTATTATCACTTCAGTCGTATAAGACAGAGAATGATAACGCAGGTAATCACAAACTTGTAAATGCTTTTCTTGTTTGGAAGCATTCGTTTAATTTACGTGAAAGTACACACAATTTACTCCTCTTAGGCATGTCGAAGTTGTCAAATACTGACTGTAATACTCCTCGATGAACTCCGGGTCCAGTCGCCGTCCGGGACTGCCTACTTTGATGACTATGTCGTCAAACTTTTTGAGGACACCCCCTTCTTCCTTGTAGCTGATCCACAATGAGTTCAGCAGGGCGTCCCGGAAAGCACTCTGAATTTCGGACACCATGCGTTTTGTCTGGTTTACCATGAGAGGAGAACCCTCTGTTCAGTGAAACGATACGAAAAATTACTGTGTTGATCAAAGCTAGAAGCAATTTGGTGTTAAAAACTTTGAGACAAGGCAATAAACAACAAAACGAGCTCGGGCCGTCATATTCTAGGTAACTTTTCAGACTTTTTGCTCTAGCTCGTTGACGCAGCATTAGTGTGCTGATTTTCTGCGCTCACACGGTGAATATCACAGCTGACAGCTTTAATGCGCGGAGCTTCAGCATGTGGCATCAAGTTTTTGTACATGAAGATTGGTGCATGTTTATGTATTGATTATATAGCGTTAGGATACACATACATAAATGTGAATATGCGCTACGTACTAACGTTTTACGTCTTTCCGCTACTGAAACTAGTTTTGAGACATTTATTACAGCTCAGCTATGGGAAAAGCCTCGCTTTCACCGTGCATGGCTTCCGGGTAGACCTCACCACCTGTTCGTATTTGCTGAGGTCTTTTGACATTTATGTGATTGCACATGAACTACTACTTCACTGCCGCTGTGTCTGCGACCTTCATCACAGATGTGTTTTTTCTTGCGTCTATTTTGCAGTTTTTGAAGTACAGAATATTGCGCATCAAGGTCTGCGTTTGTGTTTGCTTACAAATATTGCTGCTACTTAATTCCTTGCTCAATCCTGGCTCAGTTAAAGCCTTGCCGGTTCAATATCTCAATTAAAGCCTTGTTCAACTGAGGTGTTGCTTTCAAGGCTGTCCGTACACACTTTGAAGGAAAGAATTCAGGTTTTGAAATGCTGAAATGCCATGTGGTCCCATTTGCACACTTACCTAACGCTACCCATGCCTAGCCCCCCCCCCTCACCCGCAAACAATCTGCACTTAAAGAGTACTTGAGCTGCCGGCGGGTCACTCACCTTCGTAAATATCAGTTATGTCAATGAAGTGGCGTAATGATAGTGACACGCGTATATAAGTAGAAGAGGATGACGATGGAGGTGTTTCGCAGACTCCGGGTAGCGGGACAGGAGGCTGGAAAAAGGGAAGACGACAAAGGCCTTCGCCGTACAGTTGATTCTGAAACACTGTTTCACTGTGGCAAGTTGTTTCTGTCTTTTGTTCTCGCTACACCGCGACACTGGTAGAGGTGCTGGGTGCACATCTTTCTTGGTCGTCCGATTCGGCTTCCTGTAGTCCACGCAAAAACGCAGCGTGCCGTCCTTCTTCTTTACTAGCACTACAGGTGATGTCCAGGGGCTCTGTGACGGTTGAATGACGCCATCTTCAAGCATTTTCGCGGCTTCGTGTTGTATGGCGTCGCATTCCTTTAGAGCTACACGATAAGGGTTCTCCTAAATAGGTCTCGCTGTGTCCTCGATGATTATTCGACGCTTTGTCAAAGATGTTCGACCAGCTTGGGATGTCGATGAAAAGCAGTCGCGGAATTCGGCTAGCAGCTGAAGAAGTCTCTGTCGGTCTTCCTTTGACAGAGTGGTGCCAACGCCAAAAAAAGGGTTCGGGGTCTTGATTAGGCGCTTCGTCCAATACAGACAAACATAAACTGCCTCGAATTTCTACAATATTGTCGTATGAAGCGATAGCTGTGCCCTTTACAAGGTGCCGGCGCTCAGCACTAAAGTTGGTCAGAAGTAAGTGCGTGCGACCACCAGTGTGACGGACGATACCTCGTTCGATGGAAATAACATGTCTAAATAGCAGTGAGCCAATTTGGTCGGCATGCCTTCGCTATCAAACACTTCGTTCCCTTCCACTGAAACAAGAATGCATGACCGTGGCGGGACGACCACGTCATCATCAATCATATGTAAAGTGTTACGTGATGCGTCTGAACAGTTAACTAAGCCAGTGCTGTTGCGGAACGTAATTGAGCGGTCCAGAATGTTGATGACGGCACCATATTCTCTGAAAAAGTCCATCCCTATAATCAGATCCTTGCCCCATGAGGTGAGGATGACGAACGTCGCCCCTAACGAGCCACCGATTTCGAGTCTTGCTCTACACCTTCCGACAGGCATCAACAGCTGGCCGCCTGCTGTCCTCAGGTGACGTCCTGTCCATGTAGTCTTTACTTTTTGAGGCGTACGGCAAGGTTTTCACTTATGAGAGTAAAGTCAGCAATGGTGTCAAATAAGGCTGTTACTTGCGGTCTGTCTACAAAAACGGTAAGATCTGTGGCCACAGTTTTGTAAGCGCTACAACTATTCAGTTTTACGGCGTCCTGCGGTAATAGTAACGGGGGCCTTTTTTCGTCCTCTTGACGGCCTGCAACCTCACCCCCTGTAGTCGCCACCTTCAGTTTCCCTGGCGTGGACTTGGTGATCTCCTAGGCGCGGGAAAGCCTTTGCTCAAGAGACCACTGGTTGGTGTTGGCGACACGTTCATAGTGACCAAGCCAGTCTTCGACGTCTTCATATGCTCCACAACGAAAGCGATCTGGCACCAGCGGTGAAAAAAAGGTTACCTGTGATGGGGTTGGCAGACTACTGCCTCGTAGTAACTGTTGTGGACTGGCGGTGGCCATTGGTAGATGCGAGCGGTGCCTTGTAGATTGTTCTTGTGAGGGCGTGAACTCTGGAGGGAGGCCTCGCAAGCGGCGACTGAAGCGATGCACGGGATTGTCGACAAGTGCGTCCGGGCAGGATGAACGGCTCCCCGTGGGAGTGTGGATCATCAGGCGGAGTTGAGGGCCAGCACCTCCAATAGTGTCCCGGTGTAGCAAGAACAAAATACAAAAACTACTTGCGACAGTGAAACAGCGTGTTTCAGGCGTCCGGCCCGATCCTGGAAAAATTGCCGCCGTCACACTGTTCCCTGTACTCTCCAATAAGAAGGCTGTGAGAAGCTTCCTGGGCATTTGTGCCTATTATCGCCAGTTTATGGCAGACATCGCCCGCATTGCGTCACCACTAACTCGTCTCACCAGAGACGACGTTGCGTTTAAGTGGAACGAAGAACAGGAGGCTGCCTCTAATGACCAGCATCAATGTCTTCAAACGCCCCTGGTGCTTGCCCACTTTGACGGTGAAGCCCCGACGATGCTTCATACAGCAGACGCTAATAATGTTAGTCGGGGGCTGTGCTTGTGGAACGGCAATAGGACACAGAAAGGGTGATCGCCTACGCAAGCCGAACGCTGACACGCACAGAGGCTAAGTATTCAACATCGGAGAAAGAATGCTTTGCCGTAGTATGGGCAGTAATGAAGTTTCGCCCGTACTTGTATGGCCTGCACTTCACAGTTATTAGTGACCATCCCTTTCTTTGCTGGTTAACTAATCTAAAAGATCCCACCGGCCAATTAGCGCGTTGGAGCCTAAGGCTACAAGAGTTCGACATGACGGTCGTACACGAGTCGGGGAAGCGACATATGGACGCCGACTGCCTGTCCCAATCACCAATACAGTCAGCTTCCCTACCTGATGAGATTTAAACCGCATTTCTTAGGGTCCTTGATACGTCTACGATCGTCCAACAACAACATGACGACCCTGAGTTGCTTGGTTTGTGTAGTAACACAGGCGCGCGCAGCGAAGCAGCAAGGACGATGGTCGGGCAGTCAACGACGGCGTTTATTGTCCGCAGCGTGGTTATATACATTGGCATTTAGGAGAGGGTGAAGTGAGGGGGGGAAAAGAGAATGAACGCGCACAGGGCCCAAACGAAATGGTGCGCGCGCAGCTGGTTTTGCTGGCGTTACAAATGAAACAAATACAACATTTCTTTCCTCTTAAAAGTGGAACCGTTGTACCGGGTTCCTAACTCTTGTCGATCGCCTCAGCGTTGGCTGATGCGGGACCACCTCAGGCGAGTGTTCGTCCGTAGCGACTGGAGGTTCCGTAGCACCTGGTGGGGAAAGCTCACTCCGACCATCCGCTGCCGGTAGTTCTGGGCTTCGCTCTTGCTCATTCCGTCTGGACGTGCGTTGCAACGCAGGAGCCGGGACAGGAGTAGTCACGCTGGCAGGTTCAGCTTCAGCGTCCGCGCCTTCAGCCGTCCCCGCAGTTGCAGACTCCGGCGTCGATTCGCGGCGGCGGCGGACTTGGTCGATATGACGCTGCACTAACCCTCTTGGTGTGTCCACTGCTATCATTCTCGACCCCGACGCAGCTTTTACGCGTCCAGGCGTCCATCTTTTGCCGGCACCATAGTTGCGCACGTAGACGCTGCTTCCTGGCGAGATGGTCCAATCATCAGCACCCGGCGACCAGTTCTCATCCCTGGGCGGCAGGCAGGTGTCAAGACGGGACCGCAGCTGGTAACCGAGAAGCATCTCCGAGGGTGACTTTCCTTCTTTTTGTGGGGTCCTCCTGTAATGGAATAGTAGGCGCATTATGTTATCTTCTAGTGGGCCATCTTGAATTTTCCGCAAGCCATCTTTAAGGGTTCGCACTGCTCTTTCCGCTGCTTCATTCGACTGAGGATGGAAAGGCGCTGTACGCAAGTGCACAATATTGTTTCTTGCTAGAAACGTGGCGAACTCCTGGCTCATAAATTGAGTGCCATTATCGGACACGATTGTGCGTGGCACTCCGAACCGACAAAACAGACTTCGTAAGCAGCGAATAGCACCCGCTGTGTTCGCATGCATCATAGGTATTGCTTCAATCCACTTCGTGTGAGCATCTACCACCACAAGTATCATCTTGCCGGCTAATGGGCCCGCAAAATCGATGTGGATCCGGGACCACCTCTCGGCCGTTTTCGGCCAATTCACCGGTGGTGCTGCCGCAGGCATGGGCAGGTTTTCTACACAGCTTACACACTTCGCTGACAATTTCTGAATTTCCCTGTCCATCCCTGGCCACCAAAACAGTGACCGTGCCACCGCTTTCATTGACGAGGAGCCTTGGTGTGTTTTCATGTAGCAGCTGCAACATCCTTTCCTGCACCTTCCGTGGTATGACGACTCTGTTGCCCCAATAGATTAGCCGATGAGCCATCGACAGCTCCATTTTGTGATCAAAAAAGGGCAGCAAGTCGGGCACCATTCCACTTGTTGTTCGAGGCCAGCCATGCAAGATGTATTCCGCGACACGGGCTAACAACGAGTCCTTGGCAGTGAGCTCCTGCAACTCGTGCGTCGTCACTATACCTTCGTCCAGGGCCTCCAACGACAGGACGTACTCGGGAGGCTCCCCTTCGGCTACTGGTTCTGCTGCCGCCGGGGCTGGTAGTCTGCTGAGGGGATCTGCTGTCAGCAGTTGTTTCCCCGGAACATACTGTAGCTTGTACTGGTAGCCTCCTAGGAACAATGCCCACCGTTGAATGCGCGCGGCGGCCATCGGCGGCGTTTGGCGGTCAGGCTTGAGCAGTCCCAGCAGTGGCTGATGGTCCGTTACAAGGGTGAATTGCCGACCTAGGAGGTAGTCACGAAAACGAGAAACGCCAAAAATCAGTGCCAAGGCTTCTCGCTCCAGCTGAGACTAGTTTCGCTCCGCTTTTGTTAACGTTCTGGAGCGAAAACCGATTGGTCTGTGCTCATTTCCCGCCGAGTGAAACAGAACAGCACCCACGCCATACAGGGAAGCATCACATTCTAGCTTCAGTTCCCTGTTGGGATCAAAATGAACGAGTAGCTGCGCATTCTTCAACATTTCTTTCGCTTTCTAGAACGCTGACTGCTGCGGTTCCCGCCATTCCCAACGGGCTCGTTTTTGCATGAGCTGATACAAGGGGCTGAGCACAGTCAACATGTTGGGCAGGAAACGTGCGTAGAACGTGAGCATGCCAAGGAACGAGCGCAATTCGCTAACGTTACGCGGGCGTGGGGCTTGCATAACGGCGTCTACGTTCTTATCAATGGGGTGGAGGCCTTGCCGATCTATACGATGGCCAAGGTGAGTCACAGAAGGTTGCCGAAGCTTGCATTTGTCAATCCTAAGTTTAACGCCGTGCTCTCGAAACCGCTCCAACACTCTCTTGAGCTGCTCTCCGTTATCACTCTTGTGTTCTGACACTAGCACGTCGTCAAGGTAGGCTTGAACACCCGGCAGCCCACCGAGTACTGCATCCATCTTTCTTTGAAAAATGGCCGGTGCGGAAGCTATTCCGAACGGAAGTCTGTTATACCAGAAAAGCCCTCGATGCGTTTTAATGACACACAGCCCGCTGGACGCTTCGTCAAGGGGCACTTGATTATATGCATCTTTTAAATCCAAGATGCTGAAATATTCGCCTCCGTTTAAGCTTGCGAACATGTCCTCTATCACCGGAAGAGGGTAATGCTCCACCTCACATGCCGGGTTAAGGGTAACCTTAAAGCCACCGCATATCTTCACGCTCCCGTCCTTTTTCAAAACGACAACAATAGGTGTAGCCCATTCTGCATGATGCACGGGCGATAGAACACCAAGTGACACCAGCCGATCAATTTCACGAGAGACCTTATCGTGGAGGGCGTAAGGAAGAGATCTGGGCTTACAGAATTTCGGTGTCGCTGTCTCCTTAAGTTTTAGGCTGGCTGGTGGACCTTTGATTAGTCCAAGGTCTGTTGAGAAAACATCCTCGAACTCGCCGAGCAGTCGGTTCAGCATAGGGTTGTTTGGCTCGGCGCTTGCTGTAGGGTCCGGCGCAGTCAGGTCTCCAATGGGAACGCCCGCCTTGCTAAGCAAAGCAATGAGATCGCGGCCATAAAGGCTGGGTCCTGCACAGTTAAGCACGATGAGCGGGCAAGGCACAGATACATTTTTATACTTCACTGAGAGTTCGAGTTCCCCCAATACCGGAATCTGTCCCGCGTAACATGACAGCTTGATTCGTGGTGGTTGTAAGCGCGGCCACTGTGCGTGGTGTCGATCGTACACTTGGCGCGATACGATGCACACCGGGTAACCAGTATCCACTTCCATGGCAAGGTCTACGTAGCCCCATCGAAACGTGCGGCGTATGGGTGGTTCCAAACCGTTTTTTCTTCCCGAAATCAACGTCCAAGCGTGTGCGCTATCCAGATCGTCGTTGCTAGACGCGCTTTCATCTGTCAGTGCCTTTACACTCGCTGCCCGCCTTCCCACCTTTGCATCAGTTAGAGCACTGTAGCATTTCTTTGCCAAATGACCGCGCCGCCCACAGTGATAGCAGCTTGCGTTAACCCAGCGGCAGGCGTTATCGTCGTGCTTCGTGCTACCACATCGGCCGCAGTCATGCGACGCGCCTAGTGTACGATTACCTCGAGAGGGCGAGCGATGATGGGCTTGCATTTTTAGCACAGTCGACGGCTCTGCACTCATATCTTTTGCATCGCTGTCGGTTGCCTCGGCTGCAATGGACATTGATTCAGCCTCCTCGAGGGTTAAATCTTTATGTGCCAGTAACTGCTTGCGCAAGTTAGTTGAGCGTACGCCGCAAACAATCCTGTCCCTCAACATCCGGTTCAGCGAACTTCCTAAGTTGCAGTTGTCTGCTATGCGCCGTATTTCGACTAGAAATGTGTGCACCGACTCCCCTTCTTGTTGGCAACGGCTAAAAAACTTGTAGCTTTCAGCAATCTCGTGACGCTTGGGATCGTAGTAGTCATTTAATGCTGCGACCGCTTCGGCGTAAGTAAGGGAATTCGGCGTCCGTGGTGCAATTAGCCCCGCTAGCAGTTGCACAGTCTGCGTGCTGAGTGCTGCCACTAGAAGTGCTCTCTGCCTTTTGGAGTCATTAATAGCATTTGCTTCGAAATACGCTTCAGCCCGAACAAGGTATGGTTTCCACTTATCTCGTGTGTCGTCGAAAACCGGGAGCTGGAGGCTGGTCATGGTCGCCGGTACTTGTTGCGGCAGGCCGTCGGCTTCAACTTTCACGGCAGCATGGGCGGTTTCCGGGCTCGTCGACACTGTAGTAACACAGGCGCGCGCAGCGAAGCAGCAAGGACGATGGTCGGGCAGTCAACGACGACGTTTATTGTCCGCAGCGTGGTTATATACATTGGCATTTAAGAGAGGGTGAAGGGAGGGGAGAAAGAGTGAGAATGAAGGCGCACAGGGCCCAAACGAAATGGTGCGCGCGCAGCTGGTTTTGCTGGCGTTACATTTGAAACAAATACAACAGTTTGATTAATTGCTGCAAAGTGCGATCTCAGAGTGAACCCAGAGTGTTTGCAAGAGTATCGTCGTTTTCCGTAGAGAAGACCGTCTTAAAAAAAGGAATTTTTTGTCGATCGAATCTCCCTACTTGCTTGTCATCCGGACTTTCCACATTGAAGTGCTTCAAGCTTGTCACAACGACTAGATTACTGGTCACTTACGCTATGCACACATTGGCGAGAGTTCAGCAAAGACATTACTGGCCAAGGCTCACCGCTGCCGTGAAGCAACACATTCGTACTTGTGTGGACTGCCAGCGACGTAAGTCTCCTCCCACGAAACCAGCCGGCCTGATGCAACCTGTTCAGGTCCCAATTACATCATTTGACCAGATCGAAATGGATATCTTAGGTCCACTTCCTACTTCTGCTGCAGGGAACCGCTAGATTATCGACGCGACGGATTACTTTACCCGGTACGCCAACACAAAGGCTATTCAACGAAGCACAGCAGCGGAGGTAGCCAAATGTTTCATAGAAAATGTTGTACTGTGACATGGTGCACCATTCGTCATGATAACAAACCACGGGCTTGCATTCACGCTGGCTCTTTTTGAGCACATCTTGATAAGTGGAACGAGCCATCTAAAGCCCACTGCCTACCACCCGCACATGAACAGACTGACAGAGCACCTGAACAAGACAATTGAAGATATGCTGTCGAAGTATGTTGACGTTCGACATAAAAATTGGGACGATATTGTAGCGATGCTGAGGCCGGCAGGCTAAAAAACAAGCCTCTTTATTAGGGCAAACTTGTGCCCACGAGTCTAATGACTATGGTCGTCGAGTCCAAGTAGCCGAGTGGCACAGATTCAACTATCTTCGTCTTCCTCGTAGGCCAAGCGCACGAACGCGTGGCGCATGCCAGCCGGGTCTTGCTGGTGCTCTTGCCACGATGATTGCGGCAGGCTACTTGAACGTGGCCAACCTGTCGCGGCATTATCCCCTTCCTCAGACGCATCGTCCCGATGCTTGAGAGAGTGAAATGATACATGCACACTTTCACTCGTTTTCCGACGATCTGTCACGATAGGTCTTCATGCGGCTTACGTGTACCACTTCCGTGAGATTGCGGCGTCTTGAGCTCACGTGTCCCGCGGATCTGACTACATAAGTGACGTCGCTGATACGGTTGAGTACTTCATTAGGGCCGAAGTATCGACAAAGAAGCTTTTCAGAGAGTCCGCGGCGGCGCATTGGGGTCCATATCCACACTTTGTCACCGGGATGATAAAGTGCGTCACTGCGTCGCTTGTTGTACCGAATAGAGTCGACACGCTGTTGACGACGTATTCAGTATCTTGCCATTTGTCGTGCTTCTTCGGCTCTTTGCAAGAATTTATCTAATTCAGGTGGATAGTGGTTTTCGTCTTGAAGTGGTAACAGAACTCCAGTGGTGTGGTCACTCTTCGGCCGAATACTAGTTCGAAAGAGGCAACGTGGGGTGTTTCTTGAACGGCTGTATTATATGCGAATGTTACGTAGGGTAATATTTCATCCCACTGTTCATGTTCAACATCGACGTACATTGATAGCATGTCGGTGAGAGTTCTGTTGAGGCGTTCTGTTAAGCCATTTGACTGAGAGTGATACGCCGTAGTTCTTCTGTGATCGGTATTTGTCATGCGCATCAGACATTGCATAAGGTCTGCAGTAAATGCGGTGCCCCGATCCGTAATAACGACGATGGGTGCACCATGTCTGAGCACTATGTTGTTCACAAAGAATTTGGCGACTTCGGCAGCTGTCGCACTGTACAGAGAGTCAGTCTCAGCATTACGGGTCAGATAGTCTGTAGCTACGACAATCCATTTCTTGCTTGCACATGATGTCGGGAAAGGTCCTAGGAAGTGCATGCTGACTTGTTGGAATGGGGCATCCGGAGGGTCTGTTGGCTAGAGAAGGCCGGCTGGTTTTACGGCTGGAGTTTCGCGCCGTTGACATTGACAACAAGTTTTCACGTAGCGCTGCACTAATACGAGAAACTTAGGCAAATGGAACTTCAGGTGAATCCTGGCGAATGTTCGGCTCACACCCATGTGTCCAGATATTGGCTCGCCGTGGCATGCATGCAGGATTTTCTGTCGCATGGCTGTGGGCACGACTAGTAAAAACGTTTCGCCTTTAGGTTCGAAGTTCCTCCTGTAAAGGACACTTCCTCGAAGGCAGAATACGGAGAGCCCTTTGGAGAATATGTGAAAGACTTGAACGTCGAGACCCTGCAGGTGTTGTTGAGGCGCCATGAATTCCGGGTCATCTCGTTGTTGTTGAGCAATTTCGGACGCGTTCACAATGTCTAGAAACGGGAAGTCTTCCTCTTCAGGTACAGTTGGATCGACGGGAGAGCGTGACAGGCAGTCGGCATCACGGTGTTTCCTTGCAGATTTGTATACGACGGTAATGTAATACTCCTACAGCCTAAGGCTTCATCTGGCTAGTCGACTTGGCGGATCCTTGAGATTTGCCAGCCAGCATAGAGCATGGTGGTCACTGACAGCTCTGAACGGTCTACCATAAACGTAGGGTCGAAACTTATTTATTGCTCAGATGACTGCGAGGCACTCTTTTTCAGTTGCAGAGTAGTTTGGCTCTGCTTTTGAGAGTTTGCGGCTGGTATAGGTTAACGCTTTCTCTTGACCATTTTGTTACTGGACCAGGATGCCGCCGAGGCCGACATAGCTGGCATCGGTATGGGCTTCAATGACGGCTGTCTCATCAAAATGATCAAAATGGGCAAGTATTGGTGAATTCTGTAGCCGTTTTCTTAATTCATTGAAAGCTTTCTGTTGTTCGCTTTCTCTTGTGAAGGGCACATCGTCTTTTGTTAGTTTTGTAAGTTTCCGCAATCTTTGACAAGTTTTCCACAAATAGCCTATAGAAGGCACATAAACCCAAAAATCAACGCACTGACTTTTTGTCTTTGGGTGAAGGGAACCTCTGAACAGCGGCTGTCTTTTCGGGATCAGGACGAACAACGTCAAAACTAATGACAAGTCCAAGGAATCGCAGCTCTTCGAAGCAGAAGTGGCATTTTGGGGTTTTATTGTCAAGTTTGCTGACCGGATGGCTTGTAATACTGTGCGCAGTCGCTCTAATGTTTGTCCAAGGTTGAAGAGAATACCATCACGTCATCCAAATACACGAGGCATGACTGCGATTTCAATCCTGCGAGGACAGTGTCCATCATTCGCTGGAACGTCGCTTGCGCGGAACAGAGGCCGAATGGAAACGCTTTGAATTCGTAGAGGCCATCTGGTGTAACGAATGCCGTTTTTTCACGGTCCTGCTCGTCGACCTCTATTTGCAAATATCCGCTTTTCAGATCCAAGGAGGAGAAAAACTTTGCGGATCGCAGCCGATCTAGTGTATCATCTATATGTGGCAAGGGGTAGACATCTCGTTTAGTTACACTGTTGAGTTTTCGGTAGTAGACAAAGAATCTTAGCGTGTTGTCTTTCTTCTTAACGAGCACTACGGGGGACGCCTATGGACTATTCGAAGGCTGGATGACATCATCCGAAAGAATTTCCTCCACTTGCTTCTTAAAGATTTCCCGTTCTTTCTGTGACACTCCATATGGATGCTGGCATATAGGCCTCGTGTCGTCTTGTGTTATAATTCTGTGTTTCGTAATTGACGTGCACTGGACCTTCGAGGCAATTGAAATTCAATCAGAAAATTCGTTTACCAAGGCGTAAATTTGTTTCTTTTGACTGTCCGGAAGGTTCTGGTTGACGATCACGGATGTGTCGATGTTGCAGGCCACAGGACGAGTGGTTGACGTCGTTAAGCTGCATAGTTCGGTCGCCATACAGAAGTCGTGTAACTAGGCAATAGCCGTGCCTTGAGCGACGTGTTGAAGTTCATTGGAGAAATTCTTAAATAGGACATCTGCACGGCCATTGTCAAGTGAACAAGACCCCGAGCTACGCAGACACCTTTGTACAAAAACAGCCCTACATTTGTATTTGCTATGCCTTCGCGGTTGTAAAATGCGTCATTCTCTACGGGCACCATTATACTGCAGCGTGGCGACACAGTTACGTCATCATTGACAACGCGTAGAGCAGTTAGGCGTCGTTCCTCGGATTTCTCTACAGGTGTAGCTCGTTCAGTCGAAAACGACGCGCTGGACTTACGCAGGTTAATTACGGCACAATTAGCTCGCAAAAAATCTATTCCTATAATGAGCTCCCTTGAACATTTTGGTAGCACAATGAAATCGGCAACGTGAATAAAGCCCCGTATTTCAAGTCTTGCAGTGCATCTGCCAAGGGGCGTAATAATGTGACCACCCGCCGTGTGTATCTGCGATCCACTCCCCTCTGTCACAACTTTGTTTAGCTTCTTCACCATCTTGTGACTTATCACTGAATAATCAGCACCGGTGTCGACTAAGGCATTCAGCTCCCATCCTTCCATTCTGAACCACAAATCTGAAGTAACGCTTTCGTTGCTGCACCCATTTACCGGAAATACACCGTCGTCGCCCTCAAGTCATATTGGAGGATCTTCGTAACTAATGTTATCAGCGGCCTCATCTCCAAAGGTCGCTTGCTTCAGTTTTCCGGAAGTAGACTTGCAGAGCGATGACCAGGCTGCCTTGAAGGTGCACATGGGCTGGATGACCGGTAGCGCATTGGCGATGGTGACCGTGACCGATGTTGGCTTAGAGGTGGCGAGTTCTGGCGCGTGGACAAGTACTCCTCAATCTCCAGTGGTCGTTCGCCGTTTCGGGGGCATGGT